ATTTGATTGAAATGAACGTTTATCCGCATTGTTTGGATAAGTTGTCAATTTTGGCTGAGCAGAAAGATCATGACATGATTTACTGATATCGTCAGGAATAGATTTGACTTGAACAGTGCTGTTCGAAGGACCACAGATAAGAGATGATGATGGAATGACAAAACTAACATCTGATGCACCTTTTTGACTTTCAGAAGAAGAAGAAGAAAGATTTTGAGAATCAAATGATGATAGTTGAATGGTAGAATTAACATTAGACACATTTGGATTAGCAGATGATGAAGAAAGAAGATCTTCAGATTCATATGATGATGATGATGAATTAATAACATTCAGTTCTGTTTCTACTTCATTTGTACGTGTCTTCTTTGTAAATGAATGAAAAAAAGATTCAATTGTTTTACGTTTCTTAGGCTGCATTTCGGAAGACTGTATTCTACTTTAATTAATTTTTGGTGTGGGTATTAATAATGAACCAATAGAAAATAAGAAAAGATCTTAATGGTGAACTAGCCGTAGTATGTTGCGACATCACTCGAATAAAATATCATTTTTTTCTAAGATCTGAAAAAAAATTCCAGGGTGGGCTCAAACAATTCCAGGATGGGCTTAGCCTACCCCAGCCCACCCTTGGCGCCGCCACTAGGGTTAGGGCTAAGTTTTCTTAATCCGTGCAGGTCTCTACCTCTGAGCACAATCTTAGTGACAGAGAGGAAAGATAATCACTATCGTCGCCAGATAAAAGATGGACTAATATCTACGTTTTTCAGCAAGACCCTGCGAAAATGGAATTCATGACCATGCTCAGTCATCACAAATTTCTCAGTTAAATTGTTCAAAAAGGTCCTTGTAGTGGCTAATGAGTGTGACGCACGTACATATATATAGTCACGTGGCAGTGTGACTGACGTGCATACATATAGTGACTAATGAGTGTGACGGACGTACATATATATAGTCACGTGACAGTGTGACTGACGTACATACATAAAATTTTTGCCGTGACCCTCCTGCATTAACTATGTTTCGTTTTCAAGGAACAAAAAATACCAAAAATTCATTTTTCGATGGTTTTTACCCCAGACTATTTTCTGATATTTTGTATGTCCTTGGAGTGCAAAACCCATAAAAAGATACAGAAAGCAATTGAAAAATTTGTATCTACAAGAAATAATTAAACCGCATGTTAGAAGTACTCATTTTATACGTCCTCAATTTATTTTGTGCGAAAAAATTTGATCTTTACAAGAAAAATTGGTAAAAGATAATAGCAGTTATTGGTCTATGCCACACCAGAAATATGTCTATCTGTTGCCTCAGTATACTAACGTTTGACTATTACAGCACTACTCTCAAACAAAACGTCTTCAATTGGCGATGGAGGAGAATAGCAGTTATTGGTCTATGTTTAGTAGGCGTTATAGTTTAATTTTCTTGCATACACTGTTCCATAAACTGTTAAAGTGGGACCACCAGGAAAGCTCTTCTTGACTGGTAATTGCAAAACGTAATTGCGATCGATATATGGACCGTTACATTGATCGTTTTTGCAGGTTAATACAATCTTCGGTGCAATCAATACTGGTTCTGGCTTTGTGGTGGATGTCGTAAAACCAAAAAAGATCTCATTTAAGGTTAATTCTCCGTTGGGATTACAATCCCAGATTCCAAGAACATTTCCAGTCGGGTCTGTCTGATCGTTTTCATTTATACCACCAGAAAATAACAAAGCATTACGATAGAGAATGTACGAATTGAGAGCAATATAATGGTACGGTGATGTAATGTTGAAACTGAAAGCATATACACCGGAAAATGTTTGATGACATGTTTTTATTGCTGGGCTAGACAAAAGTCGACTTGTTATGAATGTTGGAGGAGAAGCAGATAGTACACCATTGCGAAACGGCAAACGCTGATATTGAAGTGGATAATAGATTTCTTGTTGTATTCCAGTGCAATAATCATATTGTGATGAAGTTGGACATTGAAAATAGAATGTGGTCGAAACGATTTTCTGACCGTTTGTTTGCTTGTTCACTGGATAGGTGAAATAGTTGGAGATTCCGTTGACCGACTGACTATCACTGCAAGACCACATACCTATACCACAAAGTATAATACAGTTTATTTCAGTAGTCCTGATCACACTCTATACGTACCGACGCTTGTACCACGATTATGCAGACCACCTTTTCTTCTTTCATTGGATGTGACACTGAACAAGTAGCCTAAGGCAGTGAGAGCGACTAAACCGTAGGTTCCATCAGAGTATTGTACTACGTAAACACCACTCATTTCACTGTAGCACTGATCATCTGCTACCGATGTCACTGTCGGATGTGTGTAGAGTCTTTGGGATTCGAAATACCTTGTGGTTATTGGTGATATTGGATTTGTATAGCTTCCAGTTATCGGATTTGGCTCTTCGAGTTTGTAAAACTGAGTAGTTACTGTTCCGTTTGAACATTGAACCTCCCTATCACTGCAATCGTCACTCGCACCCTGACATATGGCCTGTGCTTTAGTCAAGCCGACACTCATATTACCCGATTCTTGGAAATACACACCATGAAATGATAGCACGATTTTCCCCAATTGTTTTGTGCACTCATAGAAGCCACTCTGATCACTGAAAAATTGACCTGCATTCAGCTTTTCAGTAGAGCTTAACTGGAGGGCACCGCCCAATGGAAAGAAGAAGTTTAGTGCATAATCATTGGAATCATTAAATTTTCTTAAAAAAATTCCACTTATATCTTTAAAACAGGCCGGTATGTTAACAGCTTTTAACCCAACTTGAATTGTCGACAGACCAAATAATAATAATAATACTATCTCACGATTCTTAATGGTTAGCAGCATATCGCTCAGTATCGTTGAATCGCCTATTTAGTAATTTGTTTCTAAAATGTCTACTATTGTCACTGATTATTTATAGTATGTGTTCTTTCCTCCCTGTGTCTGTCTATTGTTAACGTCAGTTTGTTTTCCTTTATTGTTCTTCTGCTTTCCGCTGGTATTCGAGATGGTATGTGTAATACAACAGATATTGTTAAATAAAAAAGAACATATCAAAAGTATCCTTTTCTCTCTTCTTTGTTACCTACGCTTCTCATTTTTTGCTTCACTTGCAGTCGCATTGTCTCTTATAGTAAATATGACAGAACTGACCCCGTAATACAACAAACAAATATCGATCATAGCCGTATTCTTGCTCTGATAGTTTCTCTAATCACTGTTTATGTAGTACATTCTTCTTTTTATTAATCAGATTTATTTCTCAGGAGAGATCGAGATGTCGAAATCATTTGTCACATTTTATAAATATAAAGCAGTATAGCATAATGTATACCAGTATTTACTATCTATGAATCCAATTTTCACAGAAATCATTCTTTTACCGCACGTGTACCGAATGAAGCTCGTGTTCTGAAATCAATTAGTAAGAGTGCTATAGTTTGATCGACTCTATAGTCTATGTATTTCGTGGTGGATATTATTGTTATGGCATCAACTTATAATGTGTCAAAGAAAATTACATTGGTTATTTTCCTTCTGCTCCTGTACTTTATCTTCACACATCAAACGAATCGTTTTATAGATATATTTCAATATTTCAGAAGTGACACAGAACGATTGGCAAATGAAAATGGAAACAACATATGAAGCAAACGGAAAGGAGTTAGCTTTGTTTTTCGTGAGGGTAAGAAGGTGCAATCTGATTATCTTTTTCGAAAATAGAGTTTTGACGAGATCTTCAGAGTACCTTCTTCGATATAAACGTCATCCGTTCTTTGGTTAATACCTGACATGAGATTATATGCAGGAACCCTAAACAAGAATGAAAAGTCAAGTTATCGACTAAGTTGAGTTTCATGAGTGTTTATTGTCAGAAAGTAATTTAAAAACGTAGATCACGCTGAAATAACCCACTTTAAACCATATCCATGCAAGAAGCTATCATTCGAAACTAAGTCAGAATCTTTATAACTTCGTAAACCTCGTGATATGGTATATTCATAGAAAATGCCAAGAATCTTATAGGGTCTATACCATATATGTAACCATTTAACGTCTGTATACGAGCATATTCAGAATATCCGTGTATACCTAAAGATATTCGTCTGCGTCTAGATTTAAACTTATGCTTTTCTTATATAACTTAATTTGTCTGTTTCTTGCGAGAACAACTTATTCAGCAGTTCATGTACAACATGAAGAAGAAAGAGAGGAAGAGAAATTTAAGAGGCACTTCATTGGAAATTATGCTTTGAGTTTCTGTTAAGTTATTTAGAGATTATTTGCCAGGTTTCGAGGAATATAGAAAAGCTTGAGCTACG